ATTTTATTGAGAAAAAAAAACAGCTACAAATAATAAATGACAATGAGAATAATTCTTTTTTTGAAATAATTGAAGAAATAGAAAATATTAGTAAAGATATTATAGGAAATAATATTAATGATGAAAATAATTATGTGGATTTTTCTAAGGATATTATAAATGAAATTAAAGAGGATGACATGGAAAAGAGAAATGTAAATTATCATTTTAAAGATCTTGAAAATGACCAGATTGAAAATATACAAATGAATAGTAATACAATAATAAATAATAATATGATGAGTAATAATATTTTAACAAATGATACTCTGGATACTAAAAAGGATATTTTAGATATGTGCAATAAAAATAAAAAATTGGATGAACAGATGAATGATCACATTAATAATCAAATGAATAATCAAAAGAATGATCAAACGAATAACCAAACGAATAACCAAACGAATAACCAAACGAATAACCAAACGAATAACCAAACGAATAACCAAACGAATAACCAAACGAATAACCAAATGAATAATCAAATGGAAGAACATGTGGAGCATGTGGACCGTCCAAAGGGCAATAGTCAAAATATGTCCACCCAAATTCGTAAAGAAAAAAATGAAAGTCATTATACCTTATTAAATTATTTCGAAATAGAAAATCAAAAAAAAAAAATCAAAAAGGAAAACCAAAAGGAGCCATTTAATTTTTCTATTCCATGTGATACTTATAATGAATATGATTTAAAATGTTATGATGATATTTACAATATTTTAATGAGAAAAAATTATTTAGATATCTTTCCTATTTTTAAAGAAAATAAAAAATATAACTTTCATCATTTGAACATCAAAGATTTCCAAATCTTTTTAAGAAAAGAGAAAAACATTATGAAAAGTGGTTTTAATGAAATGTATGATTATAATGATTATATACATTTTTTCATTGATGATATTTTTCATATGAATATTAAAGACTTTTTCTTTTTTAACATATATATAGATAACATGAATAAGTGTATTACGAAAAAGAATATTTTAATTAATAATATTAGCAATTCCCATAATTTCATTAACGATTTTTATCAAAAACATGAGAAGGTACTTACATTAGATATCTTTTATAAAAATATAAGTTATGCACTTTACTTTCTTATCTTTATTAATTTATTAACACAACTATGGGAAAAATTATCATTCGATATAAAACAAATGAACCCTAATAAATTATTAAAATCCTTAATTAAATATGTAAACAAGAAAAAAATAGTTCACGTGCTAAAATGTACTTACTTATATCTTTATAACATATATGAACAGTTAAACAAAACATCTATTGATGAAAAGAAAAAAAAAAAAATTATTAAAATTATTAAAAAAAGTAAAAGCTTTAAATCAATTAAAAAAAATATATACAAAATTAATAACTCCTGTTTTCATTTGTTACTATTTTTCTTGCCATTTTCTGTTCCTCCATTTAAGAATAAAATTGATATTTATGAATACCTTTTAACCTATTTCCTTAAAAATATTAATAAAATGATTTTCAAATATATAAAGGATGATAAAAAAGGTTCTTTTTTTACTAATTTTGAAATACAAGATTTCAAGAAGAATAACCATCATCATCACAATATTAATGAAAAGAAAAATTATGCTGATGAAACAATAAAGGGAATTGAAGAAAATAATAAACGCGTTAAAAATAATATTTATTTTAATGCTAAAAATGTGGGAAATTATAGTGGAAAAGAATATTTTTGTACACGTCAAGACAATGACCAGAATATATGTACAGGTCAGGTAAGTGAAGAAAAAATATGTACAGATCAGATAAATGTACAAAAAATATGTACAGATCAGGTAAATGTACAAAAAATATGTACAGATGAGCAAGACGATAATTTAAATTTAAGTAATAAGAAAGAAAATATAAGTAATTTTTCTTTTATTATTTCAAATAGAGATCCTTTAGAAAAAGTAGAAGGTTTAAGTATAGATAAGTATGGAGAATATGAAAATTTATTAACAAATGAAGAGGAAAGAAAATGTATAGAAGAAAAGACAGGTTCATTCTTTATAAATAATGGTATTGAAAAAGAATTAGATAGAAATATGAAATATATAGTTGATAATGTTATACAGAATAGTAGGAAGAACATATGTTTATTAAAAATAAAAAGTTTAGAAGAAATATTTCTGTATTGTTTTGAAATTAATAAAAATGATTATATGTCTATAAATAATTTAACGAATGCGATGAGGTATATAAAAGTTACTGATAAAATAGAAAAAATGGAGAAAACATTTGAATCATATATAAAAAGAAATATCAATTTTTATAATATATTTTTTAAAATTATAATTCCACTTGTGAATAAAATAACAAATATTTTTGAAAACTTGGAAACCTTATTTACGTTATATATAAATTATAATATTAACAAGAAAAAAAAAAAATTATTTTATTATTACGACCCATGGTTATATGGTTATGATGCATTTTTATCATTTATACAATTGGACGATATAAAAAATGTGGGTGAAAATAAGAAGGATTTATTTTATAAAAAAAAAAAAATTTATATAAATGAAGGAAAAGAATATAATAAAGATGTAAGTCGACAAAATGCGGAAAACGATTTATATCTATATGATATGGTTATAGAAAATATAGATGACTTTTTAACATACTTTAGAGACCTTGATAAATTTTTTATTTCAAAAAATATATTTGATACTCTTGATAATATATATAGTATAAAAAATACTAGCCATTTACTTTCTATTATTAAGAATAAAAAAGAAAAAAGGAAAATTAAAAGGAAAAAAAAGAGAAAAACAAAAACAAAGACAAAAACAAAGACAAAAACAAAAACAAAAAATAGGCAAAACATAAACCAAGGAATAAATAAATTAAATATGAAAATATATTATTCTCATATATTAAATTTGTGTAACAATGAAAATTATATAAAAATAAATACTAGAGCATTAAAATATTTATTCTTTAATTTGTTTTTCAATTAATTTATATGTTTTTGTAAAAACATATTTTTTGTTTATTTTTTTTAATTTTCGTATTTTTTTGATGTTACATATTTGATAAAAAAATATATTTACATAAATATATATATATATATATATATGTGTGTATGTGTCCATTTGGACATATTATATATCTGCGTGTGCATTTTTTTTTTCAACAATATTTAGTATAATTTGAAAGGTGTCAATATGCTATTTCTTTAAAGTTTCCTATTCCTTATGATTTAAAAAAAAAATTTGAGAATAAAAGACAAAGGCTATTATTAATATAAATAAATAAATATATATATATATATATATATATTTATATATATATAACATTTTTATATTTATATTCCTCATGTAGTAAATGTTGTAATTACACGGTTTCAGGAATTTCCCTAGATATTCTTATATTATAAAAAGGATAATTATCTATATATTTAATTTTTTCTTTTTAACAATGATGTGAAATGTAGGACATATATTTCAAATTTTTTTTTTTTTTTTCTTTTTTTTCTCGTTCATCGAATTATTTTCCATTGTAAAATTATAAAAGAATATAACATATAATAAATTGTATATATTAAGAGATTAATATTATATGTATATAATTATATAATTATATTATTGTTTATTTATTTTTTTATTTATTTATTTATTATATTTCATCATATTTTAAGATGCAAGGTTTAAAGATCTTCATGAGGAGCTTTATTTATTTTGCTCTTGTATGTAATTTAATTAGTAAAATAATAATGTGTGATAAAATGAACTATGAAAACAATGAAGAAAAAAAAAAAATGAATGATGAAAATATTATGGAAATATTAAATTCAAGTGCCTTAAATAATAATATGAAAAAAGAAAAAGAGAAAAATATATTATATGATATATCTTATTATATTGAATATTTAAAAATAATAAATTCATTAGATAATAAATATAATGACAAGTTTCATAAAGCCATACTAAATATTGATACAACAAAAAAAAAGAAAGAAAAAAAAAATATAGACCTTATATACTACTCAGGAAAAAAATATAACAATAATATAAAGGATATTAAAAAACAACTTCATAAAAGCTTCTATGTGTAAAATGTAAGATACATATTAAAAAATAATAAATAAATATATATAAATATATAAATATATATATCAATGTATCTATAACAATTATGACTTCTTTGTTACTATATTAACTTCATTATACAAAAAAATGGAGTATAACATTTTATGTATTTAATTTTTTTTTTTCTGTAAATGTTCATCTTGTAATATATATATATATATATATATATATATAACATATATAATAACGCTTAATATATATTTCATTTTTTTTTTTTTTTTTTTTTTTTTTTTTTTTTTTAATATTAAAACAATAATACATTATGATAATAATCATATATATATATATATATATATATATATAATACAAAATATATTTAATATTATAATTAAAACAGAAAATAAAGACAATAAAAATAAATAACTTTGTCCTTATTTTTGATTTTATCAATAATTAAAAAGTTACTATAACAAATTATATCCCACGTGGTCTAGTGGCTAGGATATTCGGCTCTCACCCGAAAGGCCCGGGTTCAATTCCCGGCGTGGGAAAAATAAATAAATTTTATATTATTTTATTAAAATTAAGAATAATATAATAAAAAAGAATAAAAGAATATAGAAAGAAAAACTTTATTTTTAATTTAATTAAAAAAAGGAAAATTAATAAATAAAAAAAAAAAAAAGTAATGAAAGTAAAAAAAATAAATATAAAATAAAATATTTAATTTAAATTATCATGGGTTTCTTTGGTATCATTTATATAAGAATATAATATTTATTGAACTTAAAAAAAAAAATAAAATAAATTAATATATATATTAAATATAATTATAGATTATATACAAATAATAATAAAATATAATAATTATAAAAATATTCTCTATATTTATTATTTTTATAATTTTTTATTATATGGACAGACGGGGAATTGAACCCCGGACCTCTTGAATGCAAATCAAGCGTGATACCACTACACCACCTGCCCTTAATGTGGTACATATTTTTTAAATGTACTATCAATATTATTTCAAATTATATATATTATTCATCATAATATTTATTAATTATATATTATTATATATCATATATATATATATATATATATATTTTTAAATGAAACAATTTAATTATTAATCAAAATATGAAAATGTATAATAAAAATAAATATATAAAAATAAATACAGATTATATTATTTATTTATAAAATAATTTAACACATTAATAAAACAAAAAAAGAAAAAAGAAAAAAAAAAAAAAAAAAAAAAAAAAAAAAAAAAAACATAAATACATATATATTATATATAACATCTTAATATATATCATAGAAGATATATTTTTGATAAATATTTTATATATATATGACTTTCGTTCCATATGTTATAAAAATGTAAGAGCAAAATAGTATTGAGGATATATACAAAAAAATATTTTGACAATATTTGTGGATAATTTAAAAAAATGAAAACCATATGATTATAATTAATATTAGATGTAATTTATGAGCAGTGTATTATAGTATATATAAAAAAATATATGAATAATTAAAAGAAATATATATGTATTATATATATATATATATATATTTTTTTTTTTTTTTTTTTTTTTTTTTTTGCTCGCTTATTTTACCTTTGATTTTTGTCGTGTCGTATAATTCTCTTTTGCTTTTATGAAAGGATAAGTCCCTACAAAAAGAATTTAAATGTTATATCCTTCTAAAATAAAACATGGGGAGAAATCATATAGAAATATATTTTCATACGTTTTTCAAAAAATAAAAAGAAAAGAAAACAAATATGTATTTCGAAAAGATATAATAAATGAGCTTATATATGGTCGCGATAGTGTTAAAAAAAATGACATAGAAAAAGAAAAAAAAAAAAAAATTGTTGAAGAAAAGGAAGGAACTTTTTTACTTAATTTGATAAATGAAAAGAATAAAGTAATTTATGATAATATAAAAGATCTAAATAAAAATTGTATAGACAAATTTAAAAAGTACAAATGTGATCTTTATATATCTACCTCATCTAATAGAGAATATGTACCATATTATATATATGATTTTTTTATAAACTGTGGATTATTCAAATGGTATAATACAAATATAACTACAGACAAAATATGTGATAGTAATATAAATAGTAGTATTGGTACTAGTAATATAAATAGTAGTATTGGTACTAGTAATATAAATAGTAGTATTCGTAGTAGTAATATAAATAGTAGTATTGATAGTAGTAATTATCATATGTGTGAAAAAAAAAATATATATAATAAATTTTCTTCACATAATTTTATGAAATATAAAAGTGTTTATTTAAAAAAAAATACAAAAAGATATACAATGAATAATTTTTTTGATAATAAAAATAATATTTGTAAATATATGATTTTAAAAAAGAAAAGAATAAAACGTCATAATTTATTTAATTTAATAAAATATTATCAAATTCATAAAAAGGAATTGTTATTATCATCTTTAGAATATAAAAAACTTGATAACATAAGTTTGGATAGTTATATAAAGTTAAGTCTTATAAAAAATTTTAATGTTAAATATTTAACAACTGTTCAATATGTTACCTTTCCATTGTTTTTAAAAAATTATGATTTATTAATATCATCATTTAAAAGCTCAGGTAAAACATTAGCTTATATGAATTGTCTTGTACATAAAATAATAATACAAATAAATAATATAAAAGAAAAAACAAATATAAAAGATAATTATGTTTTAGGTTTAATAATATGTCCAAATGTTATATTAGTTGAACAGTCCTATGGAATTTTAAAAAAATTAATTATGTATCATCCATATAATATTATATGTCATTATATGCATGGGAAGAAATATATAAATATACAAGATGAAATGAAAAATTTAAAAAAAAAAAAACCACATATTATTATAACTACACCAGCATATCTAATTAATTTTATAAAATATTTTACAGAATTTTCACATATGTTTTTTTTATGTGATACATTAATAATTGATGAAGCACATTTTCTTCTAGATAATAATTATATGAAAAATATATTAATAATAAAAAATATATTACCAAAATCTCATCAAACTATATTATTAACATGTATTGTTAATAATTTTCTTAAGAATTTAACATATAGATTTTTAAGATTGCATTATATACATATAAATATGATAAATAATTGTATATATGATAAAGAACTATTGGATACTTCTATAAATCAACAACACCATGTAAGAAATAAAATGATTATTAAAAATGTTCAGCATATTACAAATAATATATACCATATGAATGAAAGTATATATCAAACAATTCTTCAAAATGTTTTTAAAAGATTTATAAATTCGAATCTTCAATTATATAACAAATTAAATAACAAACAAATTTATCCACATAATAATATACTTTATTGTGATAATATAGGAAAGTTGTGGTATCCTAAAGAAGCAAACATATTTTTTCAAAACGTACAGAGTGAATCTAATATAGACAATGATAATATTACTCTTGAAAAAAACAAAAAAAAAACAAAAATTATATCATCCAATTTAAATTCTGATATACTATTTGAAAAACCAAAATATGTACCGGATATGAAAAATAATAATAATGATAATAATAATAATAACAATAATAATAACAATAATAATAACAATAATAATAACAATAATAACAATAATAATAATAACAATAATAACAATAATAATAACAATAATAATAATAATAATAATAACAATAATAATAATAATAATAATAATAATAACAATAACATGGACAAAAATTATGATACACAAATATATGCTTCATCAAAACAATCTAATTATATCTTACCAATTACAAAAAAACAAATGAAAATAAAAAAATTAAAATTAACTAATAGCGATTATAATAGATATCAATGTTCTTATCATAATAAAAATGATGACAAATATATACCTACACATGTACTCTTAAAACAAGAATATTTAATATATGAATCTAATAAATTATCATTAATATTATTTAATATTTTACATAACGAATTAATAACAAATAATAATATAAATATTGTAATATTTATGCCTACCGTAAAAATGTTACAATTCTTTTATGTTATATATAAACATTATATTTTTAAAGGATATATATTCTTATTATATTTAAAATTAAAAAAAATCAAATGGAAACAGACACAAGACATTAAATCATATCTTTCATATCATTCTACATATTATGATAAGGATAACGTAAATTTTATTGTATCTTCAAATCCTTACATAATAACAAATGATAACACAAATGATCAAAATTTTAATGTTATTAATTTATATGACCAAAGCGTAAATACAAATCATATCATCAAAAATGGTAAATATCATGAACACGTATATACAGAACAATTTAAGAGTGACCAAAGTGATAATGTCACGATTAACCAAAATGATAATGTCACGATTAACCAAAATGATAATGTCACGATTAACCAAAATGATAATGCCACGATTAACCAAAATGATAATGTCACGATTAACCAAAATGATAATGTCACTATTAACCAAAATGATAATGTCACTATTAACCAAAATGATAATGTCATGATTAACCAAAATGATAATTTTACAAATGAACACATGTGTAATTATCTATTAAATTATATACAACAATATTCAGACGAATATGAAGAATTAAAAGATATTTCTATTTTATCATTACATAGTAAAATGAGCCTAGATAAAAAAAGATATACTTTAAATTGTTTTAACGGTACCAACATAGATAACCATGTTGATGAAAAAAAAAAAAAAAAAAAAAAAAAAATCTTATTTGCCACATCATTATTACATCAAGGCATAGAATTAAATAAAGTTAATCTTGTAATACATTTAGGAATGTGTAAAAATATTGATGAATATATTTTAAGAACTAACATAGTTACAACAAAATATACAAGTGGTAGGAGTTTATTATTATTAAATGAATTAGAAGCTCACTATTTATATATACTGTATAAAAATAATATTCCTATTACTCCTATAAATAAAAATTATATTAATCTTGTTTATAAAAATAATCTATTGTTACAACATTTGTTAAAATATAAATATGATATGTCAACGAATCAAGTGGAAAATATAAATACAGATATAAAACACAAGTGTGATAAAAAAATGAATGATACTAATAAGAATATTGATAATGAGAAAAATATATATCATGAAAATAATTCTTCTATTCAAATACAAACCTTTAATAATTATAATTATAAAAACGATGAAAACAATTTCTTTCAATATAATTACCAAAATGAAAAAGATTATAAAAATATCTTTTTTACATTTAATATAAAACATATAGAATGGTATAAATATAAACACTTATTATCATCATGTGAATTAATGTATAGATCTTTTCTTGGATTCTATTGTGAAAAAAATGAATTCTTAAAATATGAAAAGTGGCAAGTTCCAAGTCTAATTAAAAATATTATTTATTCTTTTGGATATTTGGAAAATTTCTATATAACAAAGTGTATGGCTGCTAGACTACAAATTATTAATGCACCAGATACGTTCATAAAATTTAATGCAACATCAAAGAGTGTACTCATTTCATCCTTACCAACTTATAAAAGTTATAAATCAAAAGCAAACGAATTTAAATTAAAAAAGTGTGCAAATGGACACTCAACAAATATGAACACATCAAATATAAACAACTATAATAAACATAATACTAATTATGATCATCTAAATGATGATGATCCTTTATATGATTATAATTTAATGAAACCAAATGATGAAAACCAAAATATGCAAACGCATCCCTTATATTTTACATTCCACAAATATGTATCTTAATATTTTTACCTTGTCTTATGTTTTTTAAGTGTATATATTATATGTATTGTTCGAACAAACATATATATATATATATATATAATTGTATTTATATTTATATTTATATTTATGTTTTTATCTTTTTTTTCATTTATATTTAATTTGATTACATATAA